AAGGGGATCTTGGTTCCGAGTTCTTGACTGACGGCGAGAGCGAGAGCCGTCTTTCCTGTACCGGGTCCACCAGCCAGCAGAACGCCGCGGCCGGCCATCTTGTGTGCTTTGATAAGGTCAACTACAACACCAGCTGCCTGTCGCGAAGTTAGTGATTGCCTTGGTATGAGGTTGTGGCCATCAATCATCAGCGCACCTCTCTTGCCGTCGACTGGCCGACGAAGCCAGCGGCTTGCTTCTCTGCTGTGCCATCCTGCTTCAATCCCAGTCCCTTGATGTGGGTGTGGGCAGCCGTGCGGTTCTCGCGACTGTTTCCCTTAACCTCGCTGATTTGGACCATCTTCGCGGCGGAAGCGTCGGTTGCCGGCGGTCAATTCGTGTGGTATCAACAATTCAATCGTGTATGGGAGATTCGATCGGAGTATCAGCAAATATGTCGCGGTCGTGATGGATCTTTGGCCTTGGGGGTGGGTGGTTGGTGTCAGACAGAATTGGATGAAGCTCCAAAAGATTTCGGGGCGACGCGCCTCAGTCTATCCCTGCAAACTTCCAGGTGCACAGTGCAGGCGCCGACTTACACATTAGGAATCGGCTGCCCCACACGTGACCTGTGGATAGCTTCCCGTTTGCGCCTCATTCAACTTCGCCCAGATCATTTCAGCTTGTTCTCACGCACTTAACCAATATTTTGGGATTTCATGTTGATCTCATGCTTAAGAAACTATGCGAAATTGTTTCACAATTTTATGACAACGAAATGATTGAGTAAAGGACCGGCCACCGTACCAAGTGCTGTACACAAATGGTGGATCAACACGCAATACACGGACAGAAGCAGCTTCTTCTTATTTCGCCAAACGCCCCAACCCTCAACAGCGGCTGGCACTACAAATATCCTGTAGAAGGTAAAATATTTGACGTTGCACATCATGTCTCTCATAAAGCGAAGAAATTCCCATCGGACCATGATGTGCGATCGGAACCGTCAAACCCCATGTGCTCAGGTCACATTGACTCAAATGCTAATTTCAATCACAGTTTTGCTCCCGCGTTCGGGAATGTTGAGACTGTTGTCTCACTGAGACCCTCTTCACCAGTGTAATCCGTCTACAAACAGCGTTCCGCCGTGCTGGAATCCTGAAGTCACCCCTTGGATGCGTAAGCCGTCAGTGTCACCCCCTTGGCTTGGCGACACGTCTCGGTGCCTTTTCTCGAAAGTCCCCTAAAGAATCCCCTGTGACGTCGTTCGTGAGAAACCAAGGTCTCGGTCGAGTGAAAGGCCCATCGACGATGCTCGGAGATGATCGCCGAAGTTCGGCTTCCCGTGACAGATGAATTGAGTTCTCGGTGAATTAGGCTGTATTACAAACACACGATGTCCTGAGATCTGGCTCTGGCAAGCTACTTTCCCAGGGCAGAGGGTCTGCCCCTTCGCCCGAGCTCATGAAGCAATCTAATTACCGACCCCAGACCACAAGCACAAATGTCCTTCGATAGGCTCTTTCGATCGATTGCGTGGTGAGATAGGATTGAGCAGAGTGTTGTCCAGCTTGTGCTCTACCTGTATTCTCTCTTAGTCCAGAGCTTCGCTGCCACATACCTTGAAGTCTCCTGCTCCATCATTCATTCTATTCTCGGGGGAGCTCTGAACTCTTTGCCGATATGGGCAATCAGTAAACACTGCATGTTAAGGACTCATATTCTGTGAAGTGCCAATGTCTAATACCTTGCTCTGTAAAGGATATCGGTACAATTTACCCAAGACGCGTTTTTGTGGGCGTCTATCAAATGCCGCAGGCCAGTTGGCCTGGCCAGTGTCTCTAATTCTCGAGTCCCTTTTCTTCGTCTTGTTGGCTTAGATCCAAACATCATACATCGTAAGCCGTGAAACATCATCACCTCACTCTCTGAAGCTCAAAATCTTCGTCCCTTCCACCATCCATATCAGCCAACATCGGCACAGCCTCCGTATCCCGCACGTTGGCAACCTCCACATCCGCCTCCCTCTTGGGCGCCGGTGCTCTCTTCGTCAGCACCACCCAAAGCGCACTTCCGATGATCAGCCCACAGCCCGCAAGGCTCATCCACCCCATGACGTTGCCAAAGATGAACCGGTCGAACCCTGCCGCGAAGAGCATGTGCGTGTACACCATGGCGTTCGCCCTATTCGACCGATCCGTGCCGAGCCCCGCCGTGAGGAGGAACTGCATCACGAACCCGAACACGCCCAGCAGCACGAGGAAGAGCCACTGCCGTCCCGTCTGTGGTAGACCCCATCGCAGGGCGGGTTGTCCGATCTCGAGCATGGGCGCGGTGGTGAGCACGACGGTGCAGACAATGGTGCACCACGTCGCAAAGTAGTTCACCGAGATGAGCGGGTGCGCCCTCTTCCCGATCCACCGGATTGTCGTGAATGCTCCGGCGGCGCCGAACACACCCACTATCGCAACCCCGATGGCCATTAGCCGCTCCGCCGTCGTAGCCTGGTGGTTCAGTCCCGGCAGCGTCGAAGTCATCGTCCCATTATTCGGGCCCGGGGTTTCAGGCGCGGTGGCGGCGGCCATGGACGTCGAGTCCCCGGAGAAGAGCGAGGTCGGGTGGGCGATGAGGACGACGCCGAAGAAGGCGATGACGGTGCCGATCTGCTCGTTTCTGGTAAACGGTTCGCGGAGGGCGAGATAGCACACGTAGCCGGCGACGCTGGGGGCCAGGAAGGTTATGACGGTGGCCTCGGCGAGGGGGAGATACATCATCGAGTACCACATGCCAAAGATGCCGAAGAAGCCCGTCACGCCTCTGGCAACGAGAAGCCATCTGATTTCCTTCTTTCCAAAGGGGAAGTCGGGCGTCTTCATGTAGTACATGTAGAGGCAGCAACAGACCATCGTGACGCTTTGCCGGGCGAAGAGCACCTGGAGTGGGTGCATTCCTTCGCCTTCGAGCTCGAGGAGCCTTGCTGTGAGATTCATCAGAGCACCGAATAGTTGTGATAATGCCACCAAGACGACGCCTTTGTTGGTCTGCCAGAACGCCGCCAGTTTCGTATTCTTTTGAGAACTCTGTAATACTGTTGGAGGGTACTCTGCCCCTGGTAACGGTGACGTCCTCCCATTCTGGAACGGGCTCGTGGAGAATCTGCGGAACGAATCTGGATCTGGTAGGGCTGAGAGTCCCTTCCCATGGTCGTGTGACCAGGACATCTTGCTGTCTATTGATAACCTCTGACTGGCTTCATCAGTGTGTTCTGGTTCTGCATCAGACCTCAACTTGGCCTCGGTGTTTCGAGGAACGAATAGGTTATCATGGTTCTGCTTCTGTTCGGACATGGCGGCTAGGTGATGTCATGTCTATAGGTCCAAAGCCATGCAGAGTGAAGCAGTAGGGCTGGCGTACGTAAGTAGGCTATATTTCCGGTGCGAGAAGTGATCTCGACCAGCTCACTCGATATTCAAAATAGCGTGTGTAAGAATGAACTCTTCACTTGAACAGAGATAGACAGAAATTTTCGACCATGCATTGAAGCGGGGTGTAGTCACAGGGAAAGACAAAAGGTACAGAAACCAGAAGGACTCCCCATCGTTCATCGGAAGTGGGGAGGCTGGAGTAAAGTAGTGTATGGGGCCCTGCTTGTCAGTTTCTCAGTCAGTCACTCGGGATAGTTCCTCACCAGGGCGGAGACGGGGGCGGAGGTGGGAGCGGAGGAGTATCGATGTGCAAAATGTGTTGGTTGATTGCGTGCGGCGGCGTGGGCACATGCTGCCTGGCGTGCCTGCATAGCCCACCATCAGGTCTCCCACCCATGCATCCCGTCGTGCCCGTCTTCTCTTTACTGGGTGTTAGTGGCAGATGCGTGAGAAGATGACCCCCTCTGAAATCCCTCCAAGTGTGTCAGTCAAGTCAGTGTTGGCGAATGCAGCAATGCGGATTCGCTAGAGGAGGGAAAAGAGCTGTGGGCGGAGTGGGAATCCCCCAGCATCGAATGGTCATGAACCAACCCACTTGAGAAACGCCCAGAGGATTCGATAGAAACTAACCAACCAACCCCCCGCTACCGCTAGCCCGGCGTCAACCCGCTGGCAAGGGCGCCCTTTTGTTCCGCTGATGCGCCGCCGACACCGAGAAAACAGAAACAGTATGATCATCGCTGGGTGTCACCTGTAGACTGATTAGGGAATTTGCCCCCCCCCCCCCGATATCGCAACCACACCATGTTCCCAGGTTTTGCCAGAGAAGGAAGGCACTGAGAAATGCGCCGGATGTCGTTTGCCGGGGGGCTGAACCAGCCCACTTTCTCGGCGCGGATCCACTCGCACAAACACCGACAGCGGCGGACCCGGCACCGATTCGGAGCAAATGGGGTTGGATGACTCGGGCAGATGCCAGAAACCCGTGTTTCTGGTTGCTTGTAAACTTTAAAGTTTAAGCCGTTCGAATGCATGTCGAAATATGCAAGCGGCTGAACCTTGATGATTTTCGTATCGACCTTTCAGTACTGTCTCTGCTAAGCTGTAGATCGAAAGTCCAAAGCAATACAATTCCAAGAGGTGGTCTTATTCGACCAGACTTCGATGGCCTTATCAAATGACTTTCTCTCAACTCGGTCACAGCAATACATAGCATCTGTAAATAGATGATCCTGCATGATCCGACTGAAAGCCCTTGATGCTTGGTCGTTAGACAAGATATCGGTCAACATGCATGGGTACCTGGCTCATATCTACCAGATTTCAGCTAGTCTCCGAAACTCAGTTGCTATCCCTAGGAGAAATCAACTGCCTTTCGCAGTAAGTCTTCCAAAAATTGATGAATGTCCATTTGACTATCGTGAATATGATGCTTTTTGACCCCTCCTAAGCCAGACCCCCCTTGTAAGGATGATATCAAAGCCAATGCCCCAAGACCACCATCCAACAAACGCCTAATGCTATGCCTCATCCCAAAAAAAAAAAAAAAAAGAGCCCGAATGGCCGCACTTTCCACCCGTATTACCCGAAGTTAACTCACTTCCCGTCCCCGTCCAATCTGACCCTTTTCGACGGTCGTCCCGCGACCTCACTTTCGGCATCAGCGTCGTCGTCGGCCTCGCCCAGCTCCTCCTCTTGCTTCACCGCCGCGTCCGCTGCACTCGAAGCCTCGCCCGTACCGTTGGCAGCCTTATCCTTCTTGCCGTGCTCCTGGTCCGCGGCGTCCTTCATGAGCACCGCCTCGTCGTCCTTTGTGAAAATCTTCTTGGCCGACTCGATCTCGCCCTTCTTCTCGAAGACCTCCTGGACCTTTCCGAGAAAGGCGTCGTTCTTGCGGAACGCGAATTCAAAGTCCTCGTATTTGACCTTCTGCCTTCCCGCGTAGTTGGCTGCGCGCGTCGCCTCGAAGGCCATGCCTTGGATGAACTCGGTTACGATCTCGTCGAGCACGCGAATCGTTTCGGGGAGCGGATTCCTTACGTCGCCGTGGGCGTATAGTAGTTGAGCCACTGCAGAATGCGAGCTTTATTAGTTTGATTTCCCGGCGACTGGTTTCGCTGAGTTCTACAGAAGCAGGAACATACGCTCGTTGTGGCTGAAGTTCATCTTGCCAACATTTTTGGCGGCGCGGGCGCGAGGCTCCATGATGGACAGGTAATTCCTGATTATCCGATCGTGAAGGGCAAGATGTTTCTGATTTTCGTTGTGTTCGCTCTGGACGGATTCGAAAGGGCTCTTTCGTGATGCGCGTAGGTTCAGTATTCGGATTGCTAGGGTAGAGTCGTCGTGGAGAGGCTGAGAGTTAGGTAGGTAGGTAGGTAGGTAGGTGCTTGGGATTGAGTGACAGACTCCACGGCACAGAACAGAAGGCACCTCAGCTTGCAGGGTTGCGATAAGATAAGGCACCTTCCTGAGCCTCAGGTTCTGGGCCTTGTCCAGCACCCCTGCTGGCTGTGGGGGTGGCGCTTCGACATCCAAATGTGGCTGACGCAGAGCTCCAAGCTCAGGCCACATGTGGCACAAACTCTCCAGGCCACCTTGTCCACCGAGGAGAGGCTGAAGACAACTGCACCCCTAGGCCACCTGTATCGCGACCGTCAAGCTAGGTTGTCCATATACGCAAAATTCCCCGTTCAAGCCGCCAACTCACTCTCAAAGAGGGACTAAACTTGCAAATATGGTATGTCAAGCTTCGCGATCATGCTCAGTATACCATAGTCGTACTAACCCAGACACAGACCGCCCTATTCAACTTCCAGTCGCTCCTCCTCGTCATTCTCCTTCTCATTTGCACATGCGCATACGCGCACCAGCTCATGCCCGCCATCATGGACCGGAACAAGGACGGGTAGGATCACCAATGGCACGCACACGTGCAGGAACATGTTTGCTAACATGTTTCGACAGTATCATGGGCATATTTTGGAAATTCGCAAGAGTTGGCGAACGGTTAAGTCCATACATCAGCTTATGCTGTGTCGTCATGGCGGCAAGTCTCTCCCTCCCCCAACTACTCCCCTCTGCGATTCTAACTGGGTAACGGTAGGTCTCCATGCTCATCAACTAAACACTCAACCCCTCCTTGTATGAATGCGCGCGAGCGGAACCCCTCTCGATGGGGGTACGAAAAGACTTGTTAAATGGTTTGGAGTTGGTCTGGGAAATGAAACATTGCTTTGTTAGATGGATGCCAGCGCCAGGCGTAAGAAAGAGGATATGGCTACGGTCAATGAGACCCGCATAACGATATCAGTAGTATATGGGTACTGTCCGGCGACAGTAGAAATAATGCAAGAAATTCCGCCACCGTCGACGGCAACTGCGGTTCCGGCACTGGCGTTGATCTAGACGTCATGTACATTTGTAGGCTGTGCCACGCATGACTTTCAGAGTTCTAAACCCGACGGTTTGTCTCTGACTACAAGCTTCGAAGCAGCCCAGTGCCTTCTCGTACGCTTTCAAAGGTCCCTCGTCGCCCAGTAGGCGACTTCTCTCGGTCCTGATCTGGAACGTCGTCGAGGTTCGTAAGCTTTGCATCTGAGATGTAAGATTTGTGGCAGCAACAAACTCTGAGTCATATTCCGGAGAAACGACCATCGATAAGCTCTTCGTCAACTACTCGTCGATATATCTTAGTATCGAGAACATAAAGTCTCTGGATAAGAAGCACTTGGATATGAAGTAATAAAACATACATCTTTGCTACCAATCTGTACGGACTTCAATCTTGAAGTGTTTTTCATGTAATCCTGGCCACGTAAGTAGGCAGAAAAGCTTACCCGTCGCGATATCTCCGTACGTAATTACTCTTTAGTGGTTTGTAGCCTTAATCTGTCCATGATATCGTCTCAAATTGAAGTTAATTAAATTCATCTACCGTCGCATATTTTCCGAAGCGCCACGGCTGCCTGGGAATTACCTATCGAGACTGAACCAGCCGTATCCGCGGCATTAATACTGGTGTCTATCTTGTCCTAATCTTTGGTATCCTTGTCTTTGAATCGCACGCGTCGCCTGCCACCTCGCCTCATACTACTTTGATCGAACCTTGGTTGGAACAACAAGCAACCTCAAAGACAAAAATAGTCGAGGCGATGGGAACACCATCAGACAATGTCTTTCCAATGGAACAGAGCACCATACCTGCGACTGATGTCTTGCTATCGATGCATACATTAACCTGCTGGCATCAGATCAGAGAGCAGTGCTAACCAAATCGACGTCATGAAGTAGACAACTTATTGGATCATACGCAAAAAAAAACACAAAAAAAAAGATCATGGGGTGGAAGTCGACACACGTAAAAGAGAGTTCATCTGTATCTACAGGGAAGAATGGCACCAAAAAGTACAAGGCAATTTTTCTCTTCTCCGGAGAAAGCTCAAGTCACCAGAGCAGGAAACCGTGTTGGCTCCAGTAACCCGCGTGCCAACATAGACTGCGTGAACGTTTGAGAGATGGCCAGAACAACTGGCATATCAAAGTAATAGAATAGTAGCCGGCAAGATAGCCTGGTGACAGGTCTCGAAGGCAATATTCGTACGTCTTTTTTCTATCTTCAGTCCCTTCCAGCAACGAGCAACTGGTTGGGAAAGAAACCGAAAACCGTCGATAGGGGCCTTGTGGATCTGTACGGTTAGACGCCACACGCGCAATATCACGAAAAGTCCCTCCAAACCACGCATTGCAGCTTTGATCAGCAGTTCGATATGACTGGGCCCGCTGTTGGAGGATCTTGGAGTGAACCAGCATTTCCCGACTCGGAATTCTCTACGTGACTCTTTGATACTGACTACATTGTACCGCGATTGGAACATCAGGCTCTGAATTATTCACCGATACGCATGAGATGAAAGTAGGGCTAGAAGACATATAGATAACCTCGACTTCAGGGTGAATTCTGTCGCCGCGTCTCGTGAGTACGAAAGAAAGGGCAAATAGCAAAAAGACACGAGTGAGTGTGGTGGGGGTCGTGACCCATTGACTGAACCGCTATCCAGAACAAGTCCACAACCACAACTCTTCATGGCCTCCGGTAACGTGGAATGGTTGACCATTCCGGAACTGGACAGAATAGTCGTCAGTCGACTAAGGGAAAGCTGTCGGGAAGTGTGAATGGTCAACAGGCCCTCGTTGTACGGCCGCGCTACCTTGCTGAAGAACGAAAGCTCCCTTTTTGCTTCTGTCATTCATCGTGACCTCTCATCGTCTTCTCTCCTTTTCAGTGCTTCAGACATTCAGCTGATTCCGTTTACTTCGACTGAGAGTGTTTCTGCTAAGGTCAGCTTCGATTCCTAATTAACGTATTTTATATTGGCAAAATATCTATCAATCGTCACAATCTCCCCTAAACTAGAGATCATGAGTGATCCGTGGCAGATTTCTAACAACGCCTCTTGAATGAGCACTTGTCAACATGCGGCATTCAAGGAAGGGCAAACAGGACATAGACAAGACGACCAATCAATACAATTTGAGAATATATCTATTCCTCCATAATCACCAAAGCATGACATGGAACACATACTAACATTAGAGAATCTGCTAAAAGAGGTAGACTTACCAGCCGGACCCCATCATTGCAAACCCAACGTACCGCAACCACCGTACAAGCCCCGACTGACGTCTGGAATGTACTCCATAACCACGTACAACCCAAAATCACAAACACCACCAAAACCCCGTCAATAACCCCCAAAGGAAGAGGATACATACATGGGAGACATACATCCACGTCCCGGATCGATATGCAAGCAAAACTCACCGATTGGCTATCACCCGGCATCCGCATGTGATTGTGATTGTGGCTGCCTCAAGACTGGTCCAGCGTTATCTTTCTTTTCTTCTTGTACAACAACAATGGCACTTGCTTGCTTTATGCGGATACAACTTTGCAGCGGACACAGCCGACAGACAAACAATCCACAATTTAGCATGCCAATCACATAATACAATCCATGAAAGAACGGGCAAAAGAGGTGGAGCAAAATGTGAATGGCGAATTGTTACTCTTTGTTTTCTGTCTTAGCAATGCCAAAAGTGCGCTATGTATCTGGATGTGACCACCTCCCCAATGCAACGCCGAACCAAGTAATCCATTGCGGCAAGAGCGCTCGCGAGCTTGATGCTTTGATACCCCCAAACACCGTCTAAAAGGTTCCGTGACCCCCACCATAGCCAAATAGAGTCTTGTGAAAAATAGCCGCAATATCAAAATTAAAAAACTGTAAAAAGGGGTATTGTTGTTCGACCAGACATAATAGAGAAACCCTATGCTAGGGCCAGGGCGTGTCGGGTCGCTCGTCTTTCTTTTGAGACCAGCATCCCTTGATTAAATGGAGTTGTGTTGGGAGATGAAGGCTGAATGTCTCAGAACTGGTTCATTTCCATCAAGCTGTCGGCCTGCTCTTCTTCAGTGTATGCAAGGCCGGCGAAAACTCTCCAGTGGAGGATACCAAGGTGTGCCAGCCGAGTCGCCATGTCCTCGATTCCGCCGTCATCCCGGTTCTCACGGTTGCCGTCGGAGACCAAGCCCTCACGGTCGGGACTGCCGATGGATCGTCCTGAGCCTTGGACACGGCCGCCAGTGGCCACGGTGAAAAGACCGACCCCAGTCAGCCCGCGGAACTCGCGCACTCGCTTCTGGAGCTCCATCAGAAGCCTGTGGTGGAAGTGCGCCTCAACCTCTTGGAACAAGGGGCTGTTGATGTCGCAAACGTGGGAAGCGAGCTTCGACTCGAAGACCGGTAGCATGTCGGCGGGTGCGTTGGTGAATCGGAAGATTTGAAGGGCCAGCGAGGGAGCAATGGCCTCCCAGCGAGATTCGTGCCTACGCGGCGGCGGCGAGGTGTGGAGCAGCGCGACCAAGGAGTTGTAGACATCTCTAGCCTTGGCAAGAGATTCTGTGGGATCGGAGGTAGGTTGAGGCGGTAGGATGAGAGAAGATCGGGGCGATGAAGTGGCAGAGTCGCCGGAGCTAAAGGCGAGACTCGACGGCCGCGAGGGAGGAGTGTTGAAGTTGAAGTCGGGAGTCATAGAAAGAGGGCGGCTGCGAGGCTCGTCGTCGAATTGTGAGAAGGAGCTGGCGAAGAGAGGGGCGTTCAATCGGCCTACTCTCTCGAGGTCGTCGTACATACGCATGCAGACCTCCAAGTTGATGGCGTCCAACATATCCGCCCGGAGCTTGCCGAATCTCTCTTCGTCGAAGATGAAGGTGTTGGGCAACGCCTTTTCGGATACCGAGGGCAAGACCAGGCGAGAGATGGCTTCAAAGAAGACAGACATCTCCCCAAAGGAATGAGCTGCGATGGGAGACACAGAAGCAGCATATCTCTGCTCAGCATCCCTATACCAGGCATTTGCTTGAGTGACGTCCAGCTTGCTCCCCTGAATCTTTTTCTCGAAGAACTTGCGCTCAAATGGAATGGTTCCCTCAATAAGGATCGGGCGAAGGCAGCGAATCTGATGATTGGCAACGTCGAGCTTCATAGCCTCCAAAACACTGAGCAGACTTTTCATGCCCTTGACAAGCTCATCCACGTTGTTGGTCCGGTTTCCGTTGCTCAACTGTGTGTACATCTGGTCCACCCACTCGTCACGCATCGGAGCGCAGTGGGATTTGAGAACTCGAGATAGCCACAGAGCAAGCTTTTCCAAGTCTGCGATTCCCCTGTAGAACTGCTGCATCAGCAAATCGACATTGAGGCCCTCATCCAAGTAAACTCTGTCTCTTTGGGGCACCAAAGTTTGAATGATTTCCTTGACCGCCTTCAACAAAGATGGCAAGCACCAGTCATCATCCTGACCGTGTGCAGAGAAGAAGGACTCTGGTTCGCTCACGAACTGGATGAGCTGCTCCTGAAGGGTGTTCCAGAAAAGGTCCGCCTTGTGTTGTTTCCTCTTGCCCTTGTCGCCGTCCAGATTAGGGCGGAAGTGCAACTCGGGGTCAAAGTTGATGTCATGACGCAACTTTGGGTTGTGCATAATTTTGCAGACATCCAGCTCGCTTAGGGTCACCTTGGTCACAGGGGGCTCAATCGGCCGAGAGATCCGGGGAGCAGAAGCCTTGACCTCCGGCACAGTCCCGAAGTAGCTGTCTGTAGGCACATTTGGCGTTGATACAGTTGAACTGTTGGATGATGCTCTGGCCATGAGAGGTGCTGTTGTGGGTGTTGATGTGTTCGAGGGTGGGTTGAAGCCTCTGGGAGAGACTTGTGACGATTGCTTGAACTGGGGTTTCGCCTCCTCTTGTTGCGTCTGCTTTCCGGTCTGCGGCTCAGACTCCTGAATGGGCTCGTTCTCGCCGTTGCGAGTCGAAGTCGACATGTGGCGACGGTTGCTTTCTATGCCGCCACCGGCTCCCTGATCACCCGCCATCTTCGAGATTCTCGTTCTGTCGATTTAACGTACGTTATACGTTCTGCTCGACTGATCTCCCAAGTCGTCGGAAATCGCGCTTTCAGTAAATACTGGTCAGAAACCAAATTTAGATCCTCCAATATTACACACTGGAACTCGACGTTGGAGTAAGTTGCGAAGCCTAAGTAACCAGAGCAGGTTGGAACGTTCTTGTGTGGCTGGTGTTCCCCGAGGAAGCAAGTTAGCAAGAGTATATCTAGTCGAAAGGCCGCAAACAAGCATCGGTAGTTTTGTGAGACGAAGAGGGTCTCGTGAGCGACACACACGCGGGCGAATGCAGGTGCTGGTTCCCGGAGTCCTGTGTAATGGGCTAGGGAGTTCCAAAGGGAGGGGGGAAGGACGCCCGCGAGTTTGCAGCCATCTGTGGCCGGGTAAGCCAAGTAGGCTTGTTGTAACTTACCGAATGTGACAAAATACTGCAGCAAAAACAGTAGTAGCTGGGCGGGGGGCGGGATGCAGCAGGAGTTGCAGTCGTCGAGTACGAGAATCAGCGGTGGATGTATCGGCCGAGGGATGTTTGCCCAGGCAGAGGAGCGCAGCGCAGCAGAAAGGAGCGACTGGACCACAGAAGGAGTCCGTTGTGGGAGTGTGCTTGCTGCAAAGGCACGGCTGAGAAGCAAACAAGCGGCCAAGTCACTTCTTGAAATGTCGTTGGTCGGATCTGACGGGAACTCAGAGCCCGAGGATGTGGTCGAGTGGGTGTACAGTGTATATCGGCTGTTGGTCGGGTATTGTTGGCGAGGTAAGAATGCCGCAGTAGTCGGAGGTTGTAAGAGTGAGGATTCGTGAGGAGGGAAAGGGTAAAAGTCTATTGGAGGGCGAGCGAGGGCGGCGAGGTGGATGTTTAAGAAGGTAGGAGCAGGAGCAGGAAGCAGCAGCAGCGACGGAGATTGCTCAGGGGGTGTGGGATATCCAGAGGCAATGAGGGACTGGTCTGGAGTGAGTGTGTGAAAGAGCGCAAGAAGCAAGCCAGAGAGGATATCCGTCTGTTAATTACAAATTGGGGGAGGAAATTGCAAACGGAGAAGGAAGGAAGAAGAAGAAGAGAACGAGTACGTCTTTCAAATGTGCAGGGACGTGGGAAAGAGGCAAGAGAAATACGGTCGGTAAGTACGGTCAGGTCAGGCCCCAGCCCAGGTCAGGTCAGGTCAGGTCAGTGCAGTACGGAGTATGCGGCCGGGGAAGGGATGAGAAGGGAAAAAAAAAAAAGGAGTACGGCGAGTGTGAGCGAGAGTCGTAACAGAGCGCAAGGAGGACTGGAGCATGTTAAAGCCAAACAATAATATTAAGACGGTAAGGTATGGGAGGGTAGGAACAGATCAGGTACAGATACCGGGTCAAGGTACGTACATCCTACATAGAGTCGCAGTGCAGAGAGCATGTACCTGAACGTGGAAGAAGACGAGGCAAAAGGCGTGGCATGGAGGTAAGATGGGTACGGAGAACGGAGTACATGCATCCAATGAGTACCTTACGGAGTAGTGTATGTGTGAGAGAGCCGTAGCGTCCATCGAGGAGAAAGGGCCCAGGGAGGTCACTAGTCATCCGTTGAATGGTGGAGAGGTACTTTGGACTTGGCTTCCATATCCTGTCCCTACATTACTCTACTGCATAGTAGCGTACAGAGGGTGTTGGCACACTAAACCGGACGGTGAAGGCCCCCCCTTTGCCTCCCAGTTTCTGTGAAGGGGCCACCTCAGAAAGGGGGGGAGGGGATGGGCCTCGAGGTACTACGTAAGTAAGGTAGTGAGGCAGGGCAAGGTACTCCGTAGTCCGTACATCAGCTACGTTGAGTCTCCAAAAGTGACGGACGGTGGCCCCAGATCGGGGGTACGTACCCTTCTCCGCCGCCGGGCCAGGAACTAGGACCCAAATGTCCAAGGGGACTATGCGCTTGGATGGGTTGGGGGAACTTGGGTGAAATTGCTGGCAATGCATCCTCAATGCAGACTCACACCTCTCAGAGCGAGAGAGAGAGAGAGAGAGAGAGAGAGAAAGAAGTGCAGTGCCAGACCAGACCAGACCAGACCCTCCACACGTTCCCACGCTCCCACACTCCCACACGGCACACGCTACACACCCGGAGCTTCATCTTTTTAGCGGCAGCACCCACTGGCCACTGGGCCATCCATTCTCTCGGCCCCCCCTTCCCCTCCCATTTTGGTTTTGTACTGTGCTGTCACTCCTCCACTGTTCCCTGCCCTGTATGCCCGACGATGAGTGTGTGTGTGTGTGTGCGGTGTTTGTGTGTGGAAGGAGAGTTCCAACTCGAGCACGAGGCCAGGACAGCAAGTAAGGTAGTCAGGCTCCATACCTTAGGTAGGAGCTGGGTGGGTGGGCTTTCGCGGTCGAGCACTGATAGTGAAGGACGAGTTGAGGGTGTCGTCAAATTCCGTCTCGTTGTGTAGGATATGCAAGGCCAGAAGTATCCGTTCCGTACTCGCCCCGTATCTTGCGCTCACAAAAGCAACTTTTAGGGTACATCCATCATGTACGTGCCAGGCCGTGTCATGCTTCCTCCCTTCCTCTTGTCCAGCTTTTCCCTCCCATCACATCTCGACTCGGCATCCCTTCCAGTTCCCGTCCGTGGTCTTTTGGCACTTTGCCATTTTCTCTGTCAGGTACGGTACGCCTCATCAACGCCTCAAGCCGCAGAGTCCCTTCACTCCCCCTCCACTTCCAGCCCGCTACTCGCTTCTAGTCAGCCTTAGCGCGTCATCGTGGAGAGGTCCCTTTGTGATGTCGTCCCCCCCGTCGTCTCCGGGGCCTTGAACAAGCCACGGCCACCGCCTGTTGCCAACACCACCCAACCCGCCCACCGCCTATCGCCCGACCGCCGGCAGTAACAACCATCGGCGGCATCGGGAGTGGCAGTGGCAGTCGCCGTAGCAGAGTAGCAGCGGCCTGCAGTAGGACAGTGCAAATGAACACCTCCTCGTCAAGTAGTTCCTCGGGGTCTCACCGAGTGAGAAACCATGTGTACTGCGTACATGCAAGCCGCATACTCGTCTACTACGCCACGCCATATAGAGCGGGCCAGTACGTGTGTCAACACCCGCTCCGGCCGATACGGATACATGGTCGTTGCCCCAGCAGAGTGGCACCGGAGGCGCAACAACACGGAGATCGGGATCCAAAGAGAAGGCGCCTCTCCTGTCAGCAGTATCGTGAGTAGCGAATGGAGGCATGGGGAACGGCAGTTGCTTTCGCTGGTGCCACCGATGATGCTGCTGCGGCGGCAGGCCTCGTCATTTGCCGTTGGCCATTTGGACACGGTAGTGCATCGTCAACCAACCCCCGTCAGGTGGACAGTGGACTGAGGGAACTCTGAGTCTGCTGCTACTCCCAAGTTACAGCCCACACACTGACGGATGGCTGCTACGACGAGATAACTATCCATGCTGCCATGCTGCCATGCCCATGCCATGCCGTGCCACGCTCATCGCGCGCTGGGGCGATTAGCACCAAGGCCATCCCTGCGCCGGGCCGGGGGGTGGACGAACAACTCGTTTGGTACTCGGGACTCTTGGAGTCTTGGGTCTTTGGTGGTCCACGCGGGCCTGTCCCTACCAGCTGGAGAGAGTCAAAAGAACCACAACCCATGCGCCTGTCGGTGATCTCGAAGAACGGAACGCAAGATGGGTACCTCGTGGAACATGCCAACCAGCCTCCCTTCTTTGCCTATCTTCGCCTGGCCTTGTTGACTTCCCCAGAATAGCAGTTTCGAATGAAAAAAGGGGAACAAGAGGTGGCGCTGGACGGGCCAGGCCGATTAAGCGTTGTAGGAACGCCCACGATGTCCCCAAACACCAGACTCCTGTCCGAGAAGACGGCGTATCCAGTAATTCGAACGAATACTCCAGATAAGCGGCCAGCAGGCGACTAGTCGCGAGGAGACTTGAAAGAACTTGGACGCATGGTCTTCGCGGGCGCTCCGCCATAAGACGGCAAAGGAGAGAGGGGCCGCGGCATCATTTCAAGAGACAACTTCGGGCCAGAACTTTTGACTCAACTGGCGAGACAAATGAGCGCGCTGCGAGACGAAGCAGCAAAGAAAGGTATGGTGAATGAGTCGTTAGGTGTGTGCGGCACAATTTTTGCTGTCAAAGGCAGCGTATCCGTAAGAGGCGGCGGCGCGCGGCGGCGGCGAGTCAATGACCTTCGTATTGATCGACCAGCGGCACATTGTTCCAATTCCGGTAGCTGCAGTGTGGACGAAAGAACAGGCTCAAACTGCTGCAGCAGGCGAGAATCTGCACCCACACGAGGTCATGGTGTACGCCGGACTGCTCGTGTGCCTCTCCATTCTACCTCATGGCCGTGGAGGTCGCGGTACACCGTCAAGGTGTTGCGAATAAGTGCAAGAGATGAAGGTAAAAAGCCGGCCGGTTGGGGGTGGGGGGTCAAAACACTCAGGATTGTGCGTCCGTTCGCTCGCAGACTTGCATGATCTGCCAGGAGTCCAAGACTGAAATTCCGAATGGATCGCACGACCTTGCAAGGACGGTACGGTAGTATGAACTATAGAAGCTGGAGGACCGTCAGCATCACACATGAGCAAAGCGCCCCTTTCTGCTAAGGATCCGTCATCCATCCATCCATTCGAAATATGTGTCCAAGCGGTGGTGATATAGTTCTTGGCGTCCTGGGGGAACGTGTCGGACTCGAGGATATGACTATGAGAATCCGAGGATCACGACTCCAAGACCAAGACCAAGACCAAGATCAAGTCTAGTGCAAGAGGAAGAGGGAACCAGCGGAAAAAGCAAATAGAAGAAGATCATCAGTGGTGCGCTAGGCGTGGGGTCCCTAGGTACTCCAACTAGGGGCAGGGGAGGCACGAGGGTAGGGTCCAGGGGAGGAAAGTACGGGAGTACTGAGTAGGGAGTACTGAGGGGCAGAAGAAACCATCGGAGGAATAATTGTGAAAAAATGCCAGAGAGGGAAAAGATTCTGGAAAAAAAGAATAATACGGAGACGTAGGAATAAAAAAAGAAAGAGAGCCCAGTGCCAGGGCAAATGGGAACGGCAAGGGCTAGTTGAGACAACCCAGCAATCCGCGCCGTCGGTAATAGCCACTTTGATCCCACTATCCCGTATCGACGTACCTTACTGGGGATGAGGTACCGTTTGCTGGGTGTGCGTGGCAGTTGTGGAAGGTGCAGAGAGACGCCGATACTGGAGGTACTCCGGTACCTCTGGAGGGTACCGAGGTACTTCATTGGCTTGCAAGGGGAAGGAGGAAGGAAGGGGATTGAGAGCGGGCGGCAGGGGGGATCCCTTGCAAGTTCCAGGTCCCAGGAGTCTTGGATTGGATTTCTCAAGAGAGCCATGTCCATCCCAGGTTCCCAACCCTCGTACCTGGGATTCTGGGAAAGAGGAGCAGCCTCGCAGACGACACGAAAGGAGGAGCCTTGTGGGATCTGCCAGGGTCAGCTTATTACCGGCCTTGCTGTCCTCGCTACGCACACCTGATACCCTGCCTGAATCTCCCAGGTGGGTTCGAGGTGAGAGTGAGACCAAGAGACTCGAGACTGTGTGTAAGAGAGAAAAGGGAAGGTGAGGTGAGGTGAGCTCAGGGCACACTTACAATCATCCAAGTGATAGGTACGCAGTTGGCGAATTGTTGAGCTAACACAACCCGAGACACTCGAGACTCGAGACTCGAAATACTCATGACATATTTCACTCATGCCAGACTCCAACATGTGGAAGAGGCGGCTGACAACGTGCAATCAAGGGGATAGTGAATTAGGCCATCGCTAGCGTGAGGCGGGTCGAACGAATCCGAGATGACAATTTGACAATTTCTATATCACGGTCGCCTCGGACGCTCTGAACATAAAGCAAGCCGCCACCTTCAGATTAATACGACAAAAGACTACTTAATAATTATTGTCCGCGCAGCATGACAGGCTGACCAACAGATCCTCATCAGGAACCCATAGTAATGACGACAATTACGAAATCCTGCATGCTCGGCCGAAGCGTTGCATCGCGCTGCTGGGGCTTTGCAGTCGCTATTTTGAATTAATTGGGTCGGGGATTAATCAGGGAGACAAAAACCACCTGCTAGAAACAAATCAATGCCTCCCATGCTGCAGTTCCTCCCTTCTCCACGGGCCATATGCTGCAGTAGACTTGGTGGGAGGAGAGACCATGGCTCCGCACGGTACAAGGTATTGCGTACCTGTTGGAGTGAAGATTAATATTCAATGGCTGAATAATACAAAAGTGCATTGCCATTGCACATTTCATCCACAGGGCTTGACCAGGCAAGGCCGGTGCCATCTCAAGACAATCACGACTCACGACTCGAAGCTCACCAGCCTTGTTCCTGGGAGCGGGAACAGGCCGCAGGCCCATGAACCAGCATCTCAGACTCGCGTGCGGAGCGCTCATCCGTATTAGTTGCCCTATTGTTTGAGCCCTCCAATCGAGACCGGCAGGTCTAGACTCACTCGAACCTCTCCATTCCTCTCTTCTCGTCCCTGCATCACATCTGCGTCAAACCAAGTCTCTGATGAGAGCCGCTACAGGACTCACTCATCTATGGACCGTCCCTTTACCAGCCCAGCGTGCCTCGCTACGGACCCTGTGGCCGGCCTCCATATCTGGACTTTGATTTCGGAGCCGGAACACCACTATGGGATATTGGCTTGAGCCATAAACTCCTACCCAAGGGCCTCGAGGTGCCCATCTCAGACAAGGCGTGGTTTAGACTCCAAACTTCGGCCCCCCCCCCCCGGTCATTGGTGACGATGACTGTCGCCTTGGAACACAATACGTACCTCGGCTGGCTTTACGGTGTGCCTACACAGTAAGATAGGTAGCTCTTCCGTCTTGCTTTACCTCATCAGCTAGGGGCACAAGCCACCTACCTGGGACGCAGTCTGGTTGTGGAAGATGGCGGGAGAGCACTAAGCAGGAAGGTAACGGTACCTGAGAGTGCAGGTGACTTGTAACTCCAGGGTACGGCTACTTGCCGTTCCTGCCTTGCGAAGAAATTTACCTACGCCAGGCGGTTGTGTGGCTGCAACGGCGCTCGACGGATACGGAATGCGCTCCGTCTACCTACGGCTCCTGTTCCACTCATCCGTCCCAGATACTGTCTCTATTCTGCACTACCTACGTACACTATGTCTCCTGTGTACGGCACTACGGAGTACGAATATCAATTTCTGCTTGCGCAACAAAGAAATTCGACATCACGGAATCTTCAAACTCTGTTCCGCCTCCACTTGCCATCATCAACCCGGCCCTTTAGTTCTAAACCTCGGAGCTAGCCTGAATGGTCATCTCACCGTCCATACAATGTTCCTTTCAGCTGTTCTTCACAAGTTCACAGCTAATAAGGTAGGCAAGCTAGGCTAGAGCAGGACGCCGGACCGTAAACCGACCCTTCCCGGAAACCCCCTGACTCCGTGACAAGGACACACGGTACAACCGCAGAGTGCAGAGTACGAAGCATACACTTCATCATCAACCCCATCAATCCCAAGCCGCATGCTCCTAGAACCACGAGGCAGGATTCGCCTCGCGGAAGGCAAGAGGCAACCTAGCAGCGAGTGGCCGTTGTTCCCTTCCCGCTGGCAGTAAGATTGGATCCATCTAGTTGCGATCCACGATCCACCGGCCTCGTCCACTTCAGATGCAACCAGCCACCAACAAAGCCGTCCTGCTGATCGCCTTCGCAATCAATTCGTCTCCTCGCTTCGGAGCCGTCGTCGTCGTCTGCTCCTACATGCATGTGGTTACGAATACCTACACAACTTTGACCCGACTGGAGATGCCCTCCGATCCCCACGTATACGAGGCTCGCACAGATTTGATCATATTATTCATACTGCTCAAACGAACAACGTCCTACTGCATCCAGCCAACAGTGCCGCTGCAGATGCATGCGATATCTAAACCGGTTACGATACCCGCAGGTTCCCTCGACTCATCGTTAACTTGACGTTACGATGAGTCTAGTGATAAGCAGCCACTGCAGTCGAAGCAGACACACACTCGATGGCTTGCGGAGTACGGAGGACTCTATGCCAACCAGCCGTTGCACTTTCATGCTTCTCTTGATTGATCTCTCTCGAGTCTTTCTCGCCTCTCACGATATTGGAAACATAAATACGGACCGGTAGCCTTATGCGACCCTCTCGCCCCCCTTTTTTTCTATTCTCCTTGTTGCCAACGCCCAAGACTATGGATATGAATCGTCCACCAACCGGTCTTGGATCTGCATCGAGGCGCCTGACCCGCGGGGTGTGGATGCTAATTAACCCGTCCTTGGGTGCAAGCGGCCGAGATATCGGAGCCACTGGGAAAGTGGCCGACGGCAAGGCGAACGCCTCATTGTCCGCCGTCGTCTGATGCTGCTAGGGCTTTGGTCTAGACGGTGCCCCGGGAATATGTGCAACCGTCCCTTTCAGTCCCCGGGGCGCCCGTCACTTTGGTCCAAACGCCAACGGCGCACGGGATGCGATAGTTTGGATAATTTCAGAGTCTCGAGACGCCGGCCACTGCCCGATACTCAGACCTGCACGCTTCATGTCCGCGACGGCATTGCTCCATGCGTGATCAATGGTGCTCGCCCGCCCCTGGTCCTCTTTGTCGCCCGCTCTCCGACCTCAAGGTGGCCCTGGCTTCTCGGCTCTCGCAAAGAGTCTTCCAAGTTCCGGGGGAGAACAGGACGAACGGCGGCCGGCAGAGAATCTGAAAGTCGCAGGTTGGCAGTTGACAATGACGACAGTCGAGTGCCCGTACCGACTTCACCTCCGCAGACCACAAAGACTTTGACTTCCAAGTTCATGTTCCATGCATGCAGATGGATGGATAGATGGATGGCCGGGGCGTCGATGAGCTGAGATCATCTCATCTTCCTACAGCCGTCCACCTTAGGGTACGAATACCCGGTTCAGAATCAGCTCTGCATCTAAAATTGCCGCTGGCTGACTCTTGAGTCTTGCCTGAGCCACCAACGCCCATCCTCCACCAGGTACGAGTCAATCAACTTCTGACGTCGACACTCGACAATCTCCTTTTTCAACAATGGCCGTGTGCGTGCGGAGCTACGCGTCAACCTCGACGCCTCGGCCATGGCGAACCCTCCATCCCCTCTGCCTCGTCTTGCCATGTGGTTGATGGAGCCCTCCAGGGGTCTACAGACCGGGAACCGCGGCTGCCCGTAGGCGAGGGTCATTCTCGCACGACTTCTGCTGAGAATGAGGCTGCACAGCTCACACCACTCGATCCGTGGCCACCCTCTGGTTTCAGTGGTCCGGCTTTGCAGTGTATGGTCAGAATTCGACCATCGGCGTCCAAGTTTGAGCTGCATTGCTGCGACCAGTCCCAACGTTACTTCCATCATCGCAGAATGCGTCCGCGGAGTAATTTGCGTGAGCACCGGCCTGCAGGATCGTCCTCACTATCCGTACCTCAATGGTCTTAGACCTTCAATCAAACACAATATCTAGCGACCGTAATGCCCACAGTTAAGACTAGGAAGACACAGTCCAGCGGCTACCAACATGTCTTCCCTTCACCTGTCTGCCGTTTGCCGCCATACACCGAGAATGGAAAAGAAGACTCTAGGTTTCAGCAGGCCTGGCCACATTGTGCCAACCCCGGCCCAAAGCTTGAGAGTGCCATTAATACACACCCTCACCACTTTCACCTAGAAAGGTGCCCGAGGCGCCAACCAGACTCCTTGGCAGATCCCATCGGTCCCAACTACGCCATCAGCACATCACACCGGGGCTTATTCGTTGATGCATCTGAGATGCCCAAGGCTTTTCTATCATTGGAAACTCTCGATACAGCCGCCGCTCGAGATGGTTGGGTAGTTCAAAGTCGCCGTTTGCTTGCATTCTCATACGCTGTGGCGTAGCCTTTTGCTGCTGGCTCGTTTCGACCTGCCTACAAGAGTACGATTGGCATTACATCCTCGCAACATCTCATGCAACCCAGTTGCGAGCTTGTTGTGCGTCTTGTGCGACAAATCATGCAGCCCTTTGACCATGATGCCACACAACGCGGCAGTCCTGCTCCGTAGCCCTCTCATTAGCAAGGTTTTCGACCAACTCCCGCCACGGGCTATCGTCTGGACGCCGCCTTGTTGACAATATAAAGGATGATACGCCCATGACTCGGCCCGCTTCCAGAGAGCACCAGGCATGCCCCGACCACAGCGTTCTCCTCTGCCTTGTGGACACATTCACATTGTATTACACTATAGCGCTTTCAGACGACCGACACACAGTTTGACTCCCGTGTCCAATCCTTTGGTGGGCGTGACGATGCAGCGGCGATATCACGGTCATGCTGCAACCCGCTAGCTTTTGCAGCTTGCAGCTTGCAGCTTGGCCTCTGAATGGGATTTCCACACATTGTTTCCGCTCGCAACGCAAGGAAACGCAACGCAACGCAAAGCAACGCAAACTAAATCACCCACCTAGTCCGCTTTATTGGTCCCCGTTCCGATCCCGGCCCAGATTGGAATTTCGGGAGTCAACGGCGAGGCTAGCAACGCAGCAAAGCTGTGGCAAACGCTGATTGATGACAACTCACCTTGACCACACCGTCCCAAAACCTTCGGATTGATCGTCCTTGATCTGTCGTTGGACCACGTTTAGGAATCGTGCGCGCCCAGAAGACGCACTGCTTCGACAACCCAGGCTTGTTTGAGCCCTCTACAATGAGCCAGCCGTGACAAGTCAGACGCACACAGGCACACCCACACTACACAAAGCTCGTACACGTCGCTGACTCTGTCGCCATGCCTCTTGTCGCATCCTGGGCCGAAGAGAAGGGCCTCTGCTGGTCAACGTCCGGACCGTGCCCCTGGCCTTTCCCGAAGCGCGCCTGTCTTCCGTGCCCAGTCGATGTCTCGTCTCTCCTCATCGACGGCCCTGCCCTGCTTCACCCACTCTCTCAGAGCACTAACCTTCCAGCATCAACCGTTTCAAATCACATCACAGCGGGATCTGGGCCGAATGGTGGTCCCTCCTCTTTTACCCGTCTTTTCCGTGGCTTCTAGAAGGCTCAACCCCCTGACGAAGAAGCATCTCAGACTTCCATACGCCGTTCTCGAGCCAGCATCGGTGACTCCGCCTCTGTGGGTTCAAAGTGGATGGGTTGCCCGTCTCCATATTTTGTTATTGAGTAGCATTCGCTTCAGCTTCAGCTTCTTCCATCGAAGCCCTACGAATACACTACGTGTGCCAGCCACCAATGCGTTGCTTAAAGCGATACAACGGTTCGGTGGATTCGCCTTGGCCTGCTGCGACTCGTTTCGCTGAATCCACCACGCACACGAGATTACGGACCCCAAAGACTCTGCCATGACCACAATTCTTCAGCAGTCTCTCTCGCTTGCTGATAGTTGGTTTCAACAGGGTCTTGTAACTCGTGAGTCTGGAACCACAGGTCTGACCTAAAAAGAAGGTGTTTCCTCCTGCGATGCGGGTAAGCCCAGGGCGATGAAGTCCTTGCGCTCTAGCCGCACCGCCAAACCCACGTCTCCTACGGACACGTGAGGTGATGTATGAACTTGTTGTTCCTGTCATTATGGATATTGTTCCCATAATACAGCCAGACTGCATAGCAACCTCGCCTGCCATGATCACCGCTCCAATTTGGCAGCAAGATTTGCACTTACCGCTTCTCGACGTGGAGCAAATGTCAAGCGGCCACGCAGAGTTGCCACCACGCATCACGACTACATCTTTTCCCCCTAAAGGAAAGGCCTAACAGAGGAACAGTCTTCCACCAAGTCAGCGCTGTCAGCCACTTGCCTTTGCTGCTCGTGGCCACCCTGGATTACACTATTTAAGCGGCATCTCCAATCAAAGATTGCCAATCGTCCGGTTTAGGCCAGTGGCCCCCCCGCCACTTTACAGCTCCGCAAGGTAACTGGACAATGAAGATCGGCGACACCATTGCCTCCCCACCAAATTTCGATGCCAAAGCGGCGTGGAAACGCACCTGTAAAAAATCATTTGGGAGGGCGAGGGCACTGTCAGTGCCTGATTCGGCTTGTGCAGTCAAAGAGACAAAGGATGCATGGGTTGGGCTCCGAGCTATGCCAGACAACTTCTTTGCCTGTCGAGCTGACCAAGTCTCTTGGCTCTCACCAACTGAGTCCAACTAAGTCGGCCATGGGCCGATCTTTGATTTTTTTTTTCTTTTTCTGTCTTTTCTGTCTAGGTCGTTCACAAAAATGGAACGACCAAAAGGCGACCTAGAGCCTTTATGGCCTTGTAGTCGGTCGAAGACCGCGCAGATCCCTTGAAGAATCTTGCAGGATCTGCTCTAGGTCACGCTCTTTTCTCGTTCCGTTTCGGTAATGCTTGCTTGCTTGCACCATTGTTTGGGGGGGAGAAGAAATGAGATCGTGGGGGGCGGTGGTTCGTCACTCGCGAAACTCAACCCAAGTTCGCTATTCATATGTGCCAATTCTACGAGGTCGTACTGCATACCTGTTAAAGGACCGTGCCAGGGGAACTTAGGTAGGACTGTAGGAGTGGGAGGGTTCGAAAAGTCCTGTGATCCATTCAATATGTCAAAGAAATGGTAGAGATCAGCAAAGTGTCGATCTCGGCCTCTCGACCCTGTTCGAGACAACAACGTCCACCCAGCGTGACGTTCCGGCTTTTTGCGGTGACAACCGCACCTCTGCGTTCCAACGTTGAGCCGCGGTCGGGATCATGGTTGAGGCCCAGACTTTTTTTTTTTGTTCGAAAAGAGCCGTGAAATGAGCAAGGTGCCTTTTCAGTGAAGCTGACGGATACGCTTTTCGGTCATCTACGAGGGTGACCGCCCATCTCCACGCCCAATGTCACCTGGCAGGGCTGGCTCATTATACATAGACCCGAGATGGGGGCCCTTTCATCAAAGGGAGGGATTGTCGATGTTACCCTTTGACCGGAACCATTTGGGAGGTGCAGCATCACTCTCTTTTGT